GCAATAATGGTGATGGCGGGTAGTAGAGAAGGCGAGGGAGGATATATTTTTTTGATAGTAGCGATGTAGAGATGGTAATACACTTACCTAATTGTGCTTGCGGGGGTTGAGCTCTGACTCTTTGGTCCCGCCTCTCAGCTGTCAATCAACAGGTGTACAGGTTCCAGAGCCTACTGGGCTCTATCATATCTACACTTGAAACTGTGTATGGAGTCAGCCTCCACCACATCACTGCTAATGCATTCCATTTGTCTACTACTCTGACACTGAAAAAATTCTTTCTAACGTCTCTATGGCTCATTTGGGCACTCAATTTCCACCTGTGTCCCCTAGTGCGTGGGCCCCTTGTGGTAAATAGTCTGTCTTTATCTACCCTATCAATTCCTCTGAGAATCTTGTATGTGGTGATCATGTCCCCTATAAGTCTGCTGTCTCCCAGTGACGTGAGGTTTAATTCCCGTAGTCTCTTCTCGTAGCTCATACCTCTCAGCTCGGGTACTAGTCTGGTGGCAAACCTTTGAACCTTTCCAGTTTAGTCTTATGCTTGAATAGATATGGACTCCATGCTGGAGCCACATACTCCAGAACTGGTCTGACAAATGTGGTATACAATGTTCTGAAAGATTTCTTACACAAGTTTCTAAAGGCCGTTCTTATGTTAGCCAACCTGGCATATGCCGCTGATGTTATCCTCTTGATTTGAGCTTTAGGGGACAGGTCTGGCGTGATATCAACCCCTAGGTGTTTCTCTCTCTCTGGCTCTCGAAGTATTTCATCTCCCAAATGATATCTTGTATCTGATCTCCTGCTCCCTACACCTATCTTCATTGCATTACATTTGCTTGGGTTAAACTCTAACAACCATTTGTTCGACCATTTGTTGTGTGTGTGTGTTTATTATTTACGCCTGCAGGATCGAGCTGTCAGCTCTTGGACCCCCTCTTGTGAGTGTGTGCTTTTATCTGTGTTTACATGTGTGCGTGTTTGTGTATATTAAATGGTTAATTTCCTTATAGAACACAAATTTAAATATATTTATAACATCAGACATGAACAAACTAGGAAAATTAGCAGTACACTAAAAATATAAATGCTGAAGGCGTGTTCAGAGTAACATATAAAAAAAACCCGTTGTATTCCATAAGGAAATTAACCCTTCAATAATCCCTTTTTTTGAGATCTCGAGGATCTAATGACAATGAACTTGCTCATTTGCATGTAAATCAGGATTTTTGCTAAACTTTGGTGATTAACCTTCGAGCAGGAAAGGACTTTTTTTTTTAAAGGATAATATGTGTCTGTGCGTGTAGTAACATATTTGTATTCAATTATTTATGTCTGCCGGATCGAGATTTTAGCTCTTGGACCCCCACCTGTTATTGTTTAATGTATTGACCCCCGATGGCCAAAGCACATATATGAGAAAGTGAGGAAATGTCGACGATTCGGTCCGTCCTGGACACGGTCGTGTGATTACACGGTTTGATAATGGTCCAGCATGGTCTGAATGATTGTACACTTTATGATGTGTGGTTTGGTCACCATATCTTCAGTCACGTTATTGTGACTACCGAGCTATATATATATATATATATATATATATATATATATATATATATATATATATATATATATATATATATATATATATAAAACTGAAAACTCCACACCCCAGAAGTGACTCGAACCCATACTGCCAGGAGCACAATGCGAAGAACAACTTTAACCTCCATGGGGAACAACTTTAACCACTATGAAGAACAACAATAACCACCACGAAGAACAACCACCACGAAGAACAACAATAACCACCACGAAGAACAACAATAACCACCACGAAGAGCAACAACAACCACCACGAAGAACAACAATAACCACCACGAAGAACAACCACCACGAAGAACAACAATAACCACCACGAAGAACAACAATAACCACCACGAAGAACAACAATAACCACCACGAAGAACAACCACCACGAAGAACAACCACCACGAAGAACAACCACCACGAAGAACAACAATAACCACCACGAAGAACAACCACCACGAAGAACAACAATAACCACCACGAAGAACAACAATAACCACCACGAAGAACAACAATAACCACCACGAAGAACAACAATAACCACCACGAAGAACAACAATAACCACCACGAAGAACAACAATAACCACGAAGAACAACCACCACGAAGAACAACAATAACCACCACGAAGAACAACAATAACCACCACGAAGAACAACCACCACGAAGAACAACCACCACGAAGAACAACCACCACGAAGAACAACAATAACCACCACGAAGAACAACCATCACGAAGAACAACCACCACGAAGAACAACCACCACGAAGAACAACCACCACGAAGAACAACAATAACCACCACGAAGAACAACCACCACGAAGAACAACCACCACGAAGAACAACAATAACCACCACGAAGAACAACCACCACGAAGAACAACCACCACGAAGAACAACAATAACCACCACGAAGAACAACCTTAACCACAACGAAGAACAACAATAACCACCACGAAGAACAACCACCACGAAGAACAACAATAACCACCACGAAGAACAACAATAACCACCACGAAGAACAACCACCACGAAGAGCAACAATAACCACCACGAAGAGCAACAATAACCACCACGAAGAGCAACAATAACCACCACGAAGAACAACAATAACCACCACGAAGAACAACAATAACCACCACGAAGAACAACAATAACCACCACGAAGAACAACCACCACGAAGAACAACAATAACCACCACGAAGAACAACAATAACCACCACGAAGAACAACCACCACGAAGAACAACAATAACCACCACGAAGAACAACAATAACCACCACGAAGAACAACAATAACCACCACGAAGAACAACAATAACCACCACGAAGAACAACCCACGAAGAACAACATAACCACCACGAAGAACAACAATAACCACCACGAAGAACAACAATAACCACCACGAAGAACAACAATAACCACCACGAAGAACAACAATAACCACCACGAAGAACAACGATAACCACCACGAAGAACAACAATAACTACCACGAAGAACAACAATAACCACCACGAAGAACAACAATAACCACCACGAAGAACAACAATAACCACCACGAAGAACAACAATAACCACCACGAAGAACAACAATAACCACCACGAAGAACAACGATAACCACCACGAAGAACAACAATAACTACCACGAAGAACAACAATAACCACCACGAAGAACAACAATAACCACCACGAAGAACAACAATAACCACCACGAAGAACAACAATAACCACCACGAAGAACAACAATAACCACCACGAAGAACAACAATAACCACCACGAAGAACAACCACCACGAAGAACAACAATAACCACCACGAAGAACAACAATAACCACCACGAAGAACAACCACCACGAAGAACAACAATAACCACCACGAAGAACAACCACCACGAAGAACAACCACCACGAAGAACAACCACCATGAAGAACAACCACCACGAAGAACAACAATAACCACCACGAAGAACAACAATAACCACCACGAAGAACAACCACCACGAAGAACAACAATAACCACCACGAAGAACAACAATAACCACCACGAAGAACAACCACCACGAAGAACAACCACCACGAAGAACAACAATAACCACCACGAAGAACAACAATAACCACCACGAAGAACAACAATAACTACCACGAAGAACAACAATAACCACCACGAAGAACAACAATAACCACCACGAAGAACAACAATAACCACCACGAAGAACAACAATAACCACCACGAAGAACAACAATAACCACCACGAAGAACAACAATAACCACCACGAAGAACAACAATAACTACCACGAAGAACAACAATAACCACCACGAAGAACAACAATAACCACCACGAAGAACAACCACCACGAAGAACAACAATAACCACCACGAAGAACAACCACCACGAAGAGCAACAATAACCACCACGAAGAACAACAATAACCACCACGAAGAACAACAATAACCACCACGAAGAACAACAATAACTACCACGAAGAATAACCACCACGAAGAACAACAATAACCACCACGAAGAACAACAATAACCACCACGAAGAACAACAATAACTACCACGAAGAATAACCACCACGAAGAACAACCACCACGAAGAACAACAATAACCACCACGAAGAATAACCACCACGAAGAACAACAATAACCACCACGAAGAACAACCACCACGAAGAACAACCATCACGAAGAACAACAATAACCACCACGAAGAACAACAATAACCACCACGAAGAACAACCACCACGAAGAACAACACTGGAACCACTTCTCAATCACACTGAAGACCATTAACTAATCTCTCAGCATTAATTCCAAGTGAAAATATTGTTTCTAATATCTGTGCCATTTAAGGGAGCTGCCAGGCACGCGCTCAAACCACACACACTAATTCCGGCATGCACTGAGTTGGCTGAAGCTGGCTGAAGCTGGCTGAAGCTGGCTGAAGTTGGCTGCAGCTGGCTGAAGTTGGCTGAAGCTGGCTGAAGTTGGCTGCAGATGGCTGAAGCTGGCTGAAGTTGGCTGCAGCTGGCTGAAGCTGGCTGAAGCAGGCTGAAGCTCCCTGAAGTTGGCTGCAGCTGGCTGAAGCTGGCTGAAGCTGGCTGCAGCTGGCTGAAGCTGGCTGAAGTTGGCTGCAGCTGGCTGAAGCTGGCTGAAGCTGGCTGAAGCTGGCTGAAGCTGGCTGAAGCTGACTGTGCCTAGTTCAGGCTTGGTGGAGCTGGATGAAGCTGGCTCGAGTTGACTGAAGCTTTTTGGAAGCTGTCTGAAGCGAACTAGAGCTTACTTGAACTGGTCTGTAGCTAGCTGAAGCTCGTTGGAATTGGTTGGAATTGGCTAGAGGTGGCTGGAGGTGGCTGGAGGTGGTTGGAGGTGGCTGGAGGTAGCTAGAGGTGGCTGGAGGTGGTTGGAGGTGGCTGGAGGTGGCTAGAGGTGGCTAGAGGTGGCTGGAGGTGGCTGGAGGTGGCTGGAGGTGGTTGGAGGTGGCTGGAGGCGGCTGGAGGCGGCTGGAGGCGGCTGGAGGTGGCTGAAGGCGGCTGGAGGTGGCTGGAGGCGGCTGGAGGCGGCTGGAGGTGGCTGGAGGCGGCTGGAGGCGGCTGGAGGTGGCTGGAGGCGGCTGGAGGTGGCTGGAGGTGGCTGGAGGCGGCTGGAGGTGGCTGGAGGTGGCTGGAGGCGGCTGGAGGTGGCTGGAGGCGGCTGGAGGTGGCTGGAAGTGGCTGGAGGTGGCTGGAGGTGGCTGGAGGCGGCTGGAGGTGGCTGGAGGTGGCTGGAGGTGACTAGAGGTGGCTGGAGGTGGCTGGAGGTGGCTAGAGGTGGCTGGAGGTGGCTGGAGGTGGCTGGAGGTGGCTAGAGGTGGCTGGAGGTGGCTGGAGGTGGCTGGAGAACTGTGATTACAGTTTTAGTACCGCGGTGACCAATAACTGTGATGAAAAATGCTGCCTTCTCTCTCTCTCTTCTCACAAGGGAAATTGCCAGACATATATAGTATATCGAGCGATAATGTGGGTTTAATTGCGTGTGTGAGGGTGTACTCATCTAGTTGTGCTTGCGGGGGATGTGCTCTGGCTCTTTGGTCCCGCCTCTCAACTGTCAATCAACTGATTTACAGGTTCCTAAGCCTGTTGGGCTCCATCATATCTACACTTGAAACTGTTGTATGGAATCAGCCTCCACCAAATTATTTCCTAATGCATTCCATTTGTCAACCACTCTGACACTAAAAAAGTTCTTTTTATTATCTCTGTGGCTCATTTGGGCCCTCAATTTCCACCTGTGTCCCCTAGTGCGTGTGCCCCTTGTGTTAAATAGCATGTCTTTATCAACCCTGTCGATTTCCTTGAGAATCGTGAATGTGGTGATCATGTCCCCCTTAACTCTTCTGTCTTCCAACGAATGTGTGTGTGTGTGTGTGTGTGTGTGTGTGTGTGTGTGTGTGTGTGTGTGTGTGTGTGTGTGTGTGTGTGTGGTGTACTCACCTAATTGTACTCACCTAATTGTGCTTGCGGGGGTTGAGCTCTGGCTCTTTGGTCCCGCCTCTCAACCGTCAATCAACTGGTGTACAGATTCCTGAGCCTATTGGGCTCTATCATATCTACATTTGAAACTGTGTATGGAGTCAGCCTCCACCACATCACTTCCTAATGCATTCCATTTACTAACTACTCTGACACTGAAAAAGTTCTTTCTAACGTCTCTGTGACTCATTTGGGTACTCAGCTTCCACCTGTGTCCCCTTGTTCGCGTCCCACCAGTGTTGAATAGTTCATCCTTGTTTACCCGGTCGATTCCCTGAGGATTTTGTAGGTTGTGATCATGTCTCCTCTTACTCTTCTGTCTTCCAGTGTCGTAAGGTGCATTTCCCGCAGCCTTTCCTCATAACTCATGCCTTTTAGTTCTGGGACTAGTCTAGTAGCATACCTTTGGACTTTTTCCAGCTTCGTCTTGTGCTTGACAAGGTACGGGCTCCATGCTGGGGCCGCATACTCCAGGATTGGTCTTACATATGTGATGTACAAGATTCTGAATGATTCCTTACACAGGTTCCTGAACGCCGTTCTGATGTTAGCCAGCCTCGCATATGCCGCAGACGTTATTCTCTTTATGTGGGCTTCAGGAGACAGGTTTGGTGTGATATCAACTCCTAGATCTTTCTCTCTGTCTGTTTCATTAAGTACTTCATCTCCTATTCTGTATCCTGTGCCTGGCCTCCTGTTTCCACTGCCTAGTTTCATTACTTTGCATTTACTCGGGTTGAACTTCAACAGCCATTTGTTGGACCATTCACTCAGTCTATCCAGGTCATCTTGTAGCATCCTACTATCATCCTCTGTTTCAATCCTCCTCATAATTTTTGCATCGTCGGCAAACATTGAGAGGAACGAATCTATACCCTCTGGGAGATCATTTACATATACCAGAAACAGTATAGGTCCAAGGACTGACCCCTGCGGGACTCCACTTGTGACGTCTCGCCAATCTGAGACCTCACCCCTCACACAGACTCGTTGTCTCCTGTTGCTTAGGTACTCCTCTATCCACCGGAGTACCTTCCCTCTCACTCCAGCCTGCATCTCCAACTTTCGCACTAGCCTCTTGTGTGGCACTGTATCAAAGGCTTTCTGACAATCCAAAAATATGCAGTCTGCCCAGCCTCTCTTTCTTGCCTATTTTTGTTGCCTGGTCGTAGAATTCAAGTAACCCTGTGAGGCAGGACCTGCCATCCCTGAACCCATGTTGATGCTGTGTTACAAAGTTCCTTCGCTCCAGATGCTCCACTAGTTTTTTTCGCACAATCTTCTCCATCAGCTTGCATGGTATGCAGGTTAGGGACACTGGCCTGTAGTTCAGTGCCTCCTGTCTATCCCCTTTCTTGTATATCGGGACTACGTTAGCTGCTTTCCAAATATCTGGCAGTTCCCCTGTTGCCAGTGATTTGTTATACACTATGGAGAGTGGTAGGCACAGTTCTCTTGCTCCTTCCTTTAGAACCCAAGGGGAGATTCCATCTGGGCCTATAGCCTTCGTCACGTCCAACTCTAGTAAACACTTCCTTACTTCCCCACTGGTAATCTCAAACTCTTCCAGTGGTTCCTGGTTAGCTATTCCCTCACTTACCTCTGGAATTTCTCCTTGCTCTAAGGTGAAGACCTCCTGGAATTTCTTATTCAATTCCTCACACACTTCCTTGTCATTTGTAGTGAATCCTTCCGCCCCTATCCTTAATCTCATAACCTATTCCTTTACTGTGTGTGTGTGTGTGTGTGTGTGTGTGTGTGTGTGTGTGTGTGTGTGTGTGTGTGTGTGTGTGTGTGTGTGTGTTGAGTGCGGGGGTGTTTGTGTATAGGGGGAGGGGTAGGGGGGTGTCTTGGGGCAGTGTAAGGCGTGGGAACGTGAGGGGTGAGGTGGGTGAGCGGTCACCAGTGTGTGCGTGCGTGCATGTGTGTGTGTGTGTGTGTGTGTGTTTACACTGGCGTGTTATGGTGAGGAGGAGGGGGGGTAGGTCTAGTCAGTGGCGGTGTAATGTAACACACAGGTGTGAGAAGCTAGTACCAAGCTGAGGCTCTTGAGCTACTTTTTCGTATTTTAATTAACTTATGTTCAAAGCTAATTACTATATAAAAAACACTGTACACCTTGTATGACTGACTTTGAGAGGCACTCACCTCCGAGTAAGCATCCCACAGCACAATTAGGTGATTTATGAAGCGATGTCCGATATTGTTGTTGACGTCCCCGCCAGAGGTCCTCCCACGTGGTGGTCCAAACTCTTCCCTTCGCAGGCCTCTGGTGCTACCATCTTGCCACAATCTCGTTCTTTTTCAATTTTTTTCTTATCAAACGTTATAAGAATTCACTATGTTGCGTTATCACTGCGTTGCTGTACCTTTCATATGACCAAAAACTATGTTTTGGGCTCACTGGTACGTAAATATCCCGAGAATATTGAAATAATTCGCGGACCGCACGCCCTACACTTGTTCACTGACCGCCGTCCTACTGGCTACTGTAGTGTGTGTGTGTGTGTGTGTGTGTGTGTGTGTGTGTGTGTGTGTGTGTGTGTGTGTGTGTGTGTGTGTGTGTGTGTGTGTATATGTGTGTGTGTGTGTGTGTGTGTGTGTGTGTGTGTGTGTATGTGTATGTGCATGTGCATGTGCATGTGCATGTGCATGTGCATGTGCATGTGCATGTGCGTGTGCGTGTGCGTGTGTGTGTGTGTGTGTGTGTGTGTGTGTGTGTGTGTGTGTGTGTGTGTGTGTGTGTGTGTCTGTCTGTTCTGTCTGTCTGCCTGCCTTCCCGTGTCTAAAATAATTGTCTTCACTTGTGCCCTCACCTAACTGTGTTACCACTTGTGTCCACTTGTATGAGTACCGCCCGTGCCTAAATACTCTCATTTTACCTACCCTGTCATACCTCCTTTGACTCTTGCATGTCAAAATCACATCTCTCCCAACGCTTCTGCGTCTTCTAGCGACGGGAGGTTCAGTTCATGTAACCTTTCCTCATAGGTCTGGGACTAGTCTGGTGGCATTCCTTCCAACCTTCTCAAACGTGGATTTGTGCTTGAATTGAGTCTCTCTCTCCAGTGTGGAGTCTCTCTCCAGTGTGGAGTCTCTCTCCAGTGTGGAGTCTCTCTCCAGTGTGGAGTCTCTCTCCAGTGTGGAGTCTCTCTCCGGTGTGGAGTCTCTCCAGTGTGGAGTCTCTCTCCACACTGGAGCCTTTTGTGAGAAAGTCAGCCTGCATGCAAGTTATTGGGTCTCTGAATGTGAAAATATATGTACCATGCTTTATGTCAACGTTAATGAATGAATTTCTAAAATTACGCCCAAGCGGAAATTCTATTAA